GCTGCACACTTCTGCAGCAGCGCTGATGCGAGACGGGAGCCATACTAAAAAAAGGGCAGCACTTCATCCTTGACACTGTTGCAAACTTCAAGCTTCAAGAGCATACATGGTGAGGAAATCTCTGGCGAAACGCATTGTCCACCCTACCAATACGTCTGTGGATGTGGCAGGGAGAAATTCTGTATAAAGAGAAGGGGTGGCGACGAAGGAGGAGGTGGAGGAAGAGGAGGCACGATGATGATGAGGAGGCAAGATGATGAGGGGGGAGGGCGAGGAGGAGGAGAGTGGAGGGGGAAGATGAGGCAGGAAGACAAAACACGATGAGGAGGAAGGGGAGAGGGATGAGGAGGATGAGGAGGAGGACGGGGAGGCGGGAGGAGGAGGAGGCAGCAGAATAATGAACGAGGAGGAGAAGGCAGTAAAAGGATGCAGGAGGATGAAGAGGCCTAGGCGTGCGCAAGAGGTTCCCAGGCAAGCTAAACGATTATCATGCGAGGTCCTACGGTCGGAGTACGTAGTGTTCTCTAAGGACGCCCCCCCTCGCACCACGCGTAATTAAAACATCGCCCCCTGAATTTGCTCTCCTGTGCTCTTCTTGTTGGCCTCCAAACAGCCAAGATGGTCTCCAAGATGGCTTCTAAGACAAGAAAACGACGACACCACAACGGCTCATTATGGCCCAAGGCAACTCAAGAGACTCCCAATGACGGCCTGATGACGGCCTAAAGACGCCCCCGAGACGGCCCAAGTTGGCACACCATTGATTTCCCGATCGCTGTCTCGAATATATTTTGAATTTATCGCTCGTTTTGGTTTGCGGCCGCACACCATGGCCAAACGGCCTCCAATATAGCCCCCAAGGCAACCCACGAGGCCTCCAAAGCGGCCCCACGTCGGCCCAAGTGGACCCCGAGATCGCCCAGAGGCTCGCAAGAGGGCCCCCCCTCCAACGGGTTCAGAGCGCTCCAAGAGAGCACTACGACGGCTCAGATAGGCCCCCAAGACAGCTTCCGAAGGCGTCAGCGGGGCCGAAAGCCGCACAAGACGGCCAACGAAATCCCCAAGAGCCCTCAGGAGGCTCGCAAGAGGTTTTAGGAGGCTCTCTGGAGTCCCCCCAGGAGGCCCCAAGAGGGTCCCAAGAGGGTCCCAAGAGGCTTGATCCTCCTCGTCTGCATGTTCTCCCTCTCCTCCTCCTCCTCCTCCTCCTCCTCCTCCTCCTCCTCCCTCCTGACGAACGCTAGATGAACTGCTTTGAGGCGTGAGCTTTTCCTCCCCTACCGCATGGACGCAGACGAGGTCGAAATCACGACCCTCATCCATTTAGACAACTCGCTTAACTGAGGAGTGGCGTGAAATCGACCTCCCCGATCCTGAGAGGACAAATGCGACATCGAATTCACGATCCGTCCTAGTTCAGACCACTCGTCGGTTTTGCCGCGGGGCGTGAACTGGACCCCCTTCTGACGTGCAGACGAAGACAAGGTCGAGTGTATGACCCGTCCAAATTCAGACAGATCGCTGGACTGATGTGGGGCGCGAACTGGAGCCCTTTCCGACCGCGAGGAAGGAGACGAGGTCGAGATCACGATCCGTCCAAATCCAAATCACTCACTGAACTGCAGCGGAGCGTGAACATGACCTCTTCCTACCGCGCGGACGAAGATGAAATCGATTTCACGACCCGCCCCAGTTCAGACCACTCGTCGGAATTGCGCTGTTCCTACCAGTATCCTTTCTGCTGCGCTGTTGCACAACCACGGTGGCGGGATTTGCGGCAAGCAGCAGGCTATTATCTGGAACCAAATCAGTTCCGGATGGCCAAACAACCCCCGAATATTGCCTCTACAGAGGCCGCCACTGACGAAACAACCTCCGTCTTGATTTCTGCTAGGTCGCTGGAGGGCTAGGTCGACTGCTGGATGATCGGTCCCGTCAATGTTAGCGACATGTCGGCCCCGGACCCCTCGCGAGGTCAGTCCTGGCCAGTTCTTTTAGCCGCAGCCAGCCTTATGATGTTCCAACCGACTTCAGCCTTGACCACCAGAGAGGATTTCGAGCGCCAAGAAAGTTTAGAAAAATTAGGGTTTTCATGTGCCGGGCTCTGGGAGGCGATACTCTTACGACACTTCGCTAACGTGTCGGGTAGACACTGTCCGGGTGCTCGACACTATTTCTGGGATGTGGCCCTGAAGTACGATTGGAACAAAAAAAAACAACCTTGGCCGCGCGAGCCGCCAGATACGCGCACGAACCCTTCGACACGACGCCGCCGAGGACGCGCGAGACCCAAGCGAGCCATCGAAAATAATCGAGATATGGGACCCCCTCCAGAATCGAGTCACCGGGACATGTCCTCGGGTGCTTGCTGGCTCAGAGGGCGACGAACTCTTTACACGGGCTGCACCAGGGCTGAACCTAAACGGTGTTGTTCGTTTTCATGTTGTTTTCGTTTTCCCTCGTTATGTCTTCAATCCACCTCTATCGCAAAACGAAGTCGACACGAAAACGGCCCACGAAATCTCCCAAACACCGTTTAGGTCCAGCCCTGGGCTGCACGCAAGAGTGGCCCTGGGTGAGAGCGACCTCTGGTGCCCGTCTTGGCGGGGAAAGCGGGGGGACAGACCCCCGGCGCGCAAGTCGCTGCTGCCGCCTCGCGGTCGGCCATCGGGGGACCCCTACTGGGCGCGCACTCAAGGCCACACGGGCGAGAGGCTGCTACTATCACGCGTGGTCGAATCCATGTCCTCGTCTCCCTGGCCAGGCCCATCCTGAACCCAGCAGCGGTGTCTACGTCACGCCCTAGGGAGAGGAGGAGGAGGAGGAGGAGGAGGAGGAGGAGGAGGAGGAGGAGGAGGAGGAAGGCGGAGGAGGAGGGCGGAGGAGGAGGAGGAGGTATAGCTCATGGGTCCAGAATAGGCCTGGCCAGGGAGCAGTGGACATGTATACATGTCGTCGCCCGAGCTCAGGAGCCGCGATGCGGATCTGGCCGCGGCCAGGAGGTGGATTCCCAGAAGGGCCCAGCAACGGGGGCCCTGGCCTCCAACACAGAACACAGAATCCAACTTTGACGAGCAATCGAAGTTTCCCTAACCCTTTTGGAGGGGACCTAAGTTAAGAGGACCAACAGCTCTAGGGATAGGTGTCATGTTGCACATGCATCAGGCGTATCCACCCATCTGTTCAAGGACACCCGAGAGCGCGGGGACCAGAATCAGGCCACGGATCCATGGTGCTATCAGGCCAGGGCTCTGTCTTCGTGCTGAATGCGAGCCGGCATGACAAACAGCGGGCCCCGAGTGGAACGGGCCTGGTGACCCGATGGCCGTCCACCAGGACCAGCTCGTCGGCCCGAGTCGCCTTTCCTCGCAGCCCCTGGGCCCGTGGAGGTGGACACCTGGAGGCGTGCCGCCCCCTTCCCCGGGGCCGGCCCTCCATAACCGAGCACATGTCTGATGACCCTGCAAGGCTCGGTGAGAGCCCCCGGAGGCCCGACACGGCAATCTTCCTCCCTCCGCGTTTTGGTGTTATTGTTGCTGCTGTTGGTGGTGTTGTTGTAGTTGCAGTTGTAGTTGCAGTTGTTTTTATGGTTGTTGCTGTTGTTGTGGTTGTTGTTGATGCTGCTGTTGCTGTGTTGTTGGTGTTCTCATTGTTGTTGCTGTTGTTTTTGTTGTCTTGAATATGCGAGGGTCCAAGGCACTGAACACCACCAGCGCAATACCCAACAAGGGGGAACAACAAATAATAATACCGATATAGCTACTCCACGGAGCCTTGCCCGGGTGCGTTCTGGCAGTGGCGACGAGGGCTCCCTAGGACGAGCATCAATATCGGTAACATGTCCTCTTCTGACTTGAGCAGGGACCTGCCGTCTCGGCATTCCTATGGACCTACCACGAACTCATCTTACAACCAGATCGTGCTGCATAGATTTAGTCAAGGCTGTCCGAGAAAGAGCAGATATACGAACATTTCGTGCAGACCACAAGTGCTTCTCATGCGTTGCTTAATGGCGGGGGAAGCGTGCACCTTTCGTGCCCCTGTTGGGCCCAATTGGGGCCCCTGTAGGGCACAACATATGCACGGTTCTTCACCCCCCATTGATCGCCCCTCCATTACGCAACCCCCGAGATACTTGTAGTCGCCGTTGCCCGTCGTTCCTTGTGCAAACCACCAAATGCTTCTCCGGCGTTGCGTAATGGGGGGGGCGATCACTGGGGGAGGGCGGGGGGAAACGTGCACCTATCGTGCCCCTTTTGGGCTCCAAGGTGGAGCTTTCAGGCACAACGTATGCACGGTCCTTCAGCATCCCAACTGATCGCTCCCCAAGTACGCAACGCGCGAGATACTGGTAGGCACCGTTGCCCGTCGTTACTCGTGCAAACCACCAATGCTTCTCGGGCGCCGCTTAATGGGGGGCGGGCGGTCAGTGGGGGGGAGAAGCGTGCACCTCTCGTGCCCCTTTTGGGCCCTAGGGGGGCCCTGTAGGGCAGAAGCCGTGCACCTTTCTTCACCCCACATTTAGTAAGTCGAAACCAAGATGAAAATGACATTGGGTGACGATACATCGAGAATATCTGACATCCAGCAATCGGCTCTGGAGGATGTCTCAGACGCCGCGGCGTTCTCAGAGCGTTCTGGACCTCTCCCTCGGAGTTCTGGAACGCTCTGGAACGTATTTTTCCTCGTCCTGGCCCCGTCCCGTGTATCGCTCCCCCCTGACGTCACGCCCGAGATCCTTAGAACATCTGGAGGTCCAGACGCTTCGGCACTGTCTGACCGACAGTACGAGTGGCGTGCGCTTAGGTGCCTGGCCTCAAGTCGGGCCTGTCCCTCTACAGGAGGAATATTCAAAAATATGTACGAAATAGTGCGGGGACTTTTTTTCCTAGTATTTTTGTTGTCAAATATGTTTTGAGTATTCTTTGAGTATTCTTGATTTTTCGTCGACAATCCGCCTGTAGGGGGGCATGCCCGACCTAAGCCTGGTCCCGACCAGGGGCGCTCCTCCTGCCCGCGGACCCGGGCCTGCTCTGCGGGCCCGTCGGCGGAGCTCCTGCCGCGGCGCAGCGGTCGGAGGGGGGGGAGGTCGTGCGCAGCCCTCTGCCATGGACGCCCGCGAGGGGGTGCGTCAACGCACCGCTCCTGGACGGCCCGCAGGTGCCCGCAAGTACCTTTCCCGGGCTACGCGAGGGTGCCTCAGAGCACCATACCTGGACGGCCCGCAGGTACCTTCAAGTGCCTTTTTCCTGGGCTACCCGAGGGTACCTCAAAGCACCATGCCTGGACGGCCCGCGGGAACCTTCAAGTACCCTTTTCCTGGGCTGCCCGCAAGCATCTCCTCAGTGCCTTTCCCGGGCTGCCCGCAAACACTCCCGAAACATCTTTCCTGGGCTGCCCGCTGGTCCGACCCAAGCTGGTCCCCCCTAAATACCTCTCCCGGGCTGCCCGCAAGTACGGAAAGAATGGGCACACTGCCCAACAACAAATGTGGTCCAAAACCAGCAGCGGCCGCAGCTGGGCAGGAAGCCTTCCCTTCTGCTTCAAATGGGCAACTTCGGCGGCGACACCGACAACGAATCCTGTTCAACGTAATCCGACAATGCTTCCGGTCTTCGAACCCATTCAGTCCTACCCGTTTAAATCGTCCTGATCTGTCTGTCCAACGACAACGTTTTGATCTATTCCCTACCACCAAGCATCAACTCCACTTGCCTGATCATCACCGTCATCGCCGCCATCCTCCTCATTGCCATCACCTGTGGTGGCCTTGCTCATTACTTTCTGTTGTGGTCTCCTTGCAGAGGGGGATCCATTCAAGGCAGCCTGACCCAATGACATATTTTTGTATAGCAGCCTTTACACATGTATGGCGGTCATAGAGAAAGGATTTGAAGTGTGGGAAATCGGCAGTGGCGGCGCCGAGTGGCCGAGAAAGCTAAGGAGGAACACATAAACAGAACATATGACCAGCAAACAGCCTGAGCTTTCACATGGAAAATGAGCAAACGCGAGGAATCCCTATGACTGCGGCTGTTCTTCTATATATGCATCTATACACATATCGATGTGCACACATACATATGTATACACATATATTTGTAGATGTGTATATATAGCTGTATGTTTATGTTTAGGAAAATTCGGAACTTTCGCAAGGATTTGAAGTGTGGGGGGGTCTGCGCTGGCCTGCATACTTAGAATTCTCGTAAAGGGCCATGCACACAGGGATTACATGTGCGGCGAGTCTGCAACAAGGATTTGAATTGTGAGGGACTGGGTTGCTGGCGCCGTGCGACCGAGGGAGCTAAGAGAAGAACACATAACAAACTTGACCACCAAACAAAACACTTGGTTTCACACGGGGGAGTCGGAAACAGCTAGGACCACCTGTGATTGACGCTATTTTTATCATGCGAATGCCCCTCAATGAAAAGCGCGTGGTAGGAGCAAACTAATCCAAGGCTCCAATCGAGGGTAAACAAGTTTGAGCAGGGACCGACCGTCCCCGCATTCCTATAGGCCTGCCACGAAATGTTCGTAGAACCCCAGCGTGTACACATAAACAACCAATGTTCTTATACTATAAACCCGACGTCTAAGACAAGACCGTCTTGGACAGACTTGTTCGAAGAACATGTCGTGCAGACCACCAAAGGTCCTTAGAACATTCTTCGCTGGTCCCATGGGCGAGCCAAGACGTTACGCAAGGCTTGACAAATACATCCCAAAAACTCATGAATACTGCCTGCTGGAAGCGCCGGCCCCAGAGGACCCGCCCGACCAGCGGGACACAGAGGCAAGAAAAGTCGAGAATGATGAGGATGAGGAGTGGGGAGGAAGTTAACATACAGTGGAAACCAGTCCACAAGAAACCTCGCACAAGAAACCCAACCCTGAGACCCCAGGACGTCCATTTCGGTATCGGAGCATCACGCTTTCCATGGCAAAACCATTGACACCCAAGGAACCCATGGAGCCCTGGAGGCAAGCAGTGTGTTTCTTGGCATTGGCCTCCACTGTATCTCGCGAGTGCGTGGACCAGCCAGGGCACAGCATGGGGTACTCGCACAAATGCCCCACACGAGCGGAGGAGGACACAGGGATCTATTTGCCGAGGCCATGTTGATTGTGGAGGCCACTGCAGATCCCCCACATTGGAAATGCTGGTTCAAACATCCCCACGCTAAGGAATCATGTTGTAAAGGCTGTGCAAACTAAGTTCACTTGCTAACAACACAGCATAATGAAAGAACGGCAATCCAATGTGTTTCTAGCTATCACAACGATATGCCGTCACATATATTTCAACGTTTTCCATGCGGCACCACTATTTCTTAAACGAATTTGATGTCCTGTGTTCCTCTCTGGTTTTCTTGGTCGCACGGCACTCCCACTGCAGACACCAGCCACTATTTGGATTCTGCAAGATCGCCACAGCAAGAATCATTGTTGCAAGCCCCTGTGCAACAATTTCAAGTGTTGAGGCCACTGCAGATCCCCCCACCCACACACAGCAACCATGTTCCTTGATCCCTGCAGAAGGAATCTAGCTGTAAAGGCGACTGCCAAACCACGTATGGCTGTCTTACAGGTAGATCTTCCGCAAGGCCAGCACACAATAGTATCTTACGCACGGCCGCGAAAGAAAGCATCGCACCAATGCAGCAAAATCAACAGAAAACAAGCGGCTGCAATCGCACGGAAAGAAGGTATTACGGATCCTGCTGGGGGGTCTGGCCCAGGGAAGGCAACGTCGAGCTGGAATCGGCGATGGAGGCTTAGGAATGGGCATCAACACCAATACAGAGGGGTGCCTCCACTGGGGGAGGATAACACCAGATTTTGGTGTTGGTGGTCATATCGCGGCCATCCAAGAAGCGCGAATATGACCACCATCGCCGAGATCGGGATCAAATTCCCTCGGTGAAGGCACACCGTCGACATTGGTGTTGGTGTCAACCTCTAGGCCTCCCAGCATCGCCGATACTCACCAACGCGATAAGCCTCCGATGGCGGAGCCGCTCGCTCCTCGGCGGGCTGTGGGCCACTGGTCCCCTGCCGGCTGTGACTAGGCGATTGGGGGACGATGCATCCCCCCCCGAGTTTCGCGTTGCCCTGTGGCCTTCGGGCCATAGCTCGGGACGAAGGAGGACGAGGGGGTGGTCACCACACACACGGCGTGGTCGCCACACCGTTTGGGGGCCTCCGATCTTCGTCCATCCTGGGCCGTCTTGTTGACGGTCCTGGGGCCCAAAGAGGGCTCCAGGGCCGAAAGCAGCGAAAACCACGAGGACCCGTGTCTGAGGGGGAACGCCAGCGGGAGACCAGCTCGGGGGAGCACATCGACCTGGAATCGGCGATACATCGCCGATACAGGCCGAGCTGGAGACGCCGCCCATCGCGTGGGAGGACGAGGGGGGGGGGGCGAGGAGGGGAAGGACGAGGAGGGGAGGTCGAGATTTGCTCCCCGCCGAGAGCTTAGGGGGGGACCTTCACATTGCCTTGTGGCTTTCCAGTCATAGCTCGGCTCTCCGGCAACCGTTCTGGACGATCTGGGCGCCCCCAGAACGCCCTTGGCCACGCGCGCCTGCTGGAACGCACCCCGAGGCTGGAAAGCCGCCGAGAACCGACAACGCCCGAAAAACTAGAACCTCGATGGTAATGGGGGGCCGATGCGTTCCCTCTGGCGTTTCCCTACAGCAGACGAGCGCGTTCCACAATTCGCAAAAAAAGGCTCGCAAATGGCCTGGATCCGCCGCGGGGGATTTACGGTCCATGATTTCGAATCGGGGGCGCGCAAACATGGATTGGCGAACCATGCATTTGACGCGCGGTCGCCAAATCCATAGATCGGGGGAGGTGCCCTCCACAAAATGCGGCCTGTGCCGCCTGGTTCGGCGGCGGAAATCCGCGATTTCCCATGGAAACGTGACCCGACGCTAATCCACGCCCCCTTGATCCATGTTTGCGATCGCCTGACCGAAGCAAGCGTGTGTCGAAGCCTCGGACCTCGGACCTCGAAGCCTCGGACCTCGAAGCCTCAAACCTCGCACCGAGAACCTGGACGCCTCGAGGCCTCGAAGCCTCGAAGCCTCGCAGCCTCGAAGCCTCGCAGCCTCGAGGCCTCGAGGCTGCCTCGAGGCTCGCGCGCCCCTCCTGCTGCGGCGCAGCCTCCTCGAGACCTTCCGGCGCCGCCGCGGGGAGTCGTCGGCGTGCCGCGGGTCCCCCCGGAGGCCGGCCTCCGCGGCGGCGGCGCGCGCCTCTCGGGTGGGCCCATCGGGGGTTGGCGCGAGGGGCGGCCTCCGGATGGCACGCCCGCAAGGGGGCACCTGGGGGAGAGACACACAGGCCACAACGAGTCGTCGATTCCCGAGGGAGCCTGGAAAGTGCATCCAGGAGGAATCTTGAAAACACGGGGCCGTCCTGGGGTTTCGTGTCCGTTTCTTTGTCTGTGTCCCTAGGGCCCTTCATTCGGGGCGTGTCTGACCAGGGGGGGGGGGGAAGGCTTCTTAGCAGGAGGCTGCTTCTCAGAAGGCGCGGCCTTACATCTATAGATGAAGCTCGACTCTTCTAAGACGCAACCTCCTTCTATGCCTTCCGCCCTGCCTCTACCCTCTTCTGCGCGTGGCCGACTTCTGATGGCACGCCCGCAAGGGGTACGGACAAACATGTGCACGATGCCTAACAGCAAAGGTAATCCAGAACCGACAGAGAAAGCTGTTGGGCAGCAGCCCGTCTGTCTCAAAAAGACAACGTCCGCAGCGGCACCGTCAACGAGTCCTGCTCACAATGTACAAGACCTGCAAATTGTCTCCGAACCGCATCTTTCCGCATCCATGCCCCATGTGGGCCCTCGAGATTCTGAGAAGGCGGATGGGCTTCTAAGAAGGCAAGACTCCTTTTCAGGAAACCGTGGACGCTGTTAGGGGAACGAAACATTACACAAACAAAACAATTCGGAGGTCCGCGCGGATTTCTTGGATCCGCGCCGGAACCCCCTCCCTGGCGCGCGGAGCGCGCCAGGGGCGGCGCCGGAGGCGCCGACAGGGGGGTCCAGCGCGGATCCGGGAAATCCGCGCGGACCTCCGAGTTGTTATGTTTGTGTCATTTTTCGTTCCCCTAGCTGTGCGGAAGGCCTCTTTCTTGAGCGGCGGGGTCCTAAGTCGGCGGTGGACAAACCTCCCTTTAGTCAACCTCCCTTTAGTGAAAACGGCCTGGGACCGAAACCGACGGACCTGGACCCGCAATAATGACGGCCGCGACGCCCTCTCGCGAACCGAAACCGGCCAACTCGCTCATCGCCGTGTCAGGGTAGGAGGTCTGTCCACCTCCGATCCTAAGGAGGCCCTCCTGCCCTCGTAGAAGCTTGCCATCGCTCGGACGTCCATTCCCTGTGCATTTTTCGGTTTCGTGCGCGTTTTTGTTTGCTCGATGATCCAGGATGCTCCTCCAGGGTCCTCGCCGAGAAAAACATGCACACGTCCGAGCGATGCCAGGAGAAGCCCCGCCGCCTCCTCCGAGAAGGCCAAGCCCCTCGCGCCACGCCCCCTGCTGTCTGCGCTGCCGCGCCTCGCTGGCCCTTCGGCCGGAGTCCAGGTGCCGCTCCGCGTCGAGCCCGTCGTCCTCGTCCTCCGCGCGGGGCCCAGGACCCCCTCGCGGCGCGGCAAAAATCACGACGACGTGTGTCGTGCTATCTTCGGCCTCGGCGTTTTGGTATACTTTCGGCCTCGGGGAGCCCTCGCCAGGGCCCTGGGTCCGTCGGGGCCGAATCCAAACAGATCGCGGATCTGTATGGTCTTGGGCCGTCTTGGGGTTCTATTTTGGAGCCCTCTTAGGGTCATCCTGGAACCATCTTGGGGTCCCCCTCGGGGTCATTTGGGGGCCTTCATGCGGCCTGGCGGAGCCCCGAAAAACGGCTCGGGTTGAGAAGCTGGTCCTGGGGAATGGGTCGAGACCTCCAGGGGTCCACGCTGCGAAATAATCACGACGTCGGGGGTCTGGTTGGGGAGACGTGAGACTCGGGTTCGGGGAACTCGGGTTGGCCTGCCGGGGCCGTCACCAAAATGACAAGACCCAATCTGAAATTTGACGCGATTTCACGCTGCAATCATCCCATGAAAACTGCAATGCCAAAATGCAAGACGGCCTGGTATAACGCAAAAAACGTCGGCTGGAGGTCCGGCAAACTCGAGTCGTACGCTTCGCCCATCTCCCTGATCATTGGAGGGCCGAGCTTTCTGGTCGCGACCAACAAAGTCGGTGGCTGCTGATTTTGCTTCAAGTTCCAATATCGGAGGTGGATCCCCGTACAGTCGGCCTTGATCTGACAGGACACGCGAGATGACACAAGACCCTTCTGAGGGCCACATCGCCACAGGAGTGTAAGAAGGCACGTGCCGCGAGGCACGGGACACAAGGGCACCCTTGAGCTGGCAGGGCCGACCTACCAATCTGGGCCGACTGTAGGACCCCAACAACAAGGGCAATGAGCACCAGCACAGAACCGAACACTCGTGCGCCGGCGTCCCAGGCCCCCGACGTCATGATTTGCGCACGACGTGGACTCCAGGAGCGACCCATTCACCGGGAACGGCTTTTCGTCCTGAGCGGCTTTTTGTCGGGTCGGGCGAAAGGGGGGGATAGCAAAGAGGGGGGTTGAGGACCAGCTCACGCAGCTGATTTTCCCGGCGCCTCCCCGCGCCGGGAGGCGGCTATGTATAGAGGACTGGGCCCCTCGGTGGGGCCGAAACCAGCTGCATGCACTAAATTTCGCAACCCCCTCCCCCTCCCTATCCCCCCCTTTCGTTCGGCCCAATTTTGGACCCTCCCAATACATGGCTAGGGCCCGCAATGATACACCAAAAACCTCCGTCTCGATTTTGTTCACCACGCGAGGGGGTCTTCAAGGAGGCGCAGTGGAGGCGCCTGGGGGGTCGGGTCCTCATTGGTTGGGACCCAGCAAAATCTCAGGAGGGGGGACGAAGCCGAATCCTATCAAGAACGGTCCCGGACCTTTCACCCGCGGTCCATCTGGTACAGCTTTTCGCACCAGATTCGATTTTGACGGTCTCAGGGCCCGAAAATGGCCTCCGAAGGCCGAAGGAGGCAAAACCCTTCTCGAACCCAGAACCCCTCGAACCTGCCCGCCCTTCCTGCTGGCCAGCCTCAGTGCTGGGTCGAGTAGGGCTGGGGGGTCAGGTCTGAAGAGAACCCCAAATGGGCGTCACGGGGCGCAATCAGCCTGTTCTGTCAAGCTGACACTGATGCACCACGTCCAGCGTCGAGCCAAAACTTTGGACACAAGCGAACGGCTGGACGTGGCACATCTTCGTCGGCTTAACCAGCGAGGCATTTGACCACCTCGACGTCCCTTTTTTGGTGGTCCTGCAGAGAGGGCGCTCTCTGGCCCTCGGCCCTACTCCAGTGCTGGGCCACGTCAACACCGCCACACGGCTCGAAAACTTGAGCAGTGACCGACCGTCCCGGCATTCCTATAGTCCTACCACGACATGTTCTTAGAACCCAAAAATGTTCGAATAACAAAAACGATGTTCTTAGAACATACACCCGATGAGTTAAAGCAAGACAGGCTCCGCCAGACATGTTCTACTAAGAGCATTTCGTGGAGACCACAAGAGGTTCTTAGAACAGACTTTGGTGGGGCGAGAGGCGAGCCAAGCTTCGCCACTGCTTGAACGTCAGCACCCCCACACGGCTCCAACACCCGCCGACCCTGGCCCTGCACATGCTGGCCTGCGCTGGATCGGCTCGCCAAGCAGGATCGGATCGGAAACGGGCCGCACCGCCGGCGCTTCGCCCCGAATCGAATCGAGATCAGACACGCTGCGCCGAGCTCTGGCTGGCCCCGGGCGGGCGAATCGAGCCGAACCGAACCGCATCTCGAATCGGAATCGCGGCCCTGGCTGGCGCATCGACCCGCATCGCAAGTCGGATAGCGGCCCCGACAGGCACGGCGGCCCTCTGCGCACCGATCCTCGCAGCGTGCTCCCCAACTCCACGGCGCGACGGGCGCCTCGCCCTCTCGGCAGCTCGGCCGCCTCTGGTCTGCTTCGGGCACGACGCACGCGGGCCCTGCGAGGAGCTGGCCTCCCTCGAGACCAACTCTTCCTCCCCCTCCCCCCCTCCTCCTCCTCCTCCTCCTCCTCCTCCTCCTCCTCCTCCTCCTCTTCCTCCTCCTCCTCCTCCATTCCACATCCTCCTCCTGCTCCTCCTCCTCCTCCTCCTCCTCCTCCTCCTACTCCTCCTCCTGCTCCTCCTCATCCTCCGCCTCGTCCTGCTCCGCCTCCTCTTCCTCCTCCTCCTCCTCCTCCTCCTCCTCCTCCACCTTGTCCTGCTCCGCCTCCTCTTCCTCTTCCTCCTCCTCCTCCTCCTCCTCCTCCTCGTGGAGCCCAGGATCGTGTGGTGACAGGCCCAGCGATGACCTGGGCCTCACCGCAAGGCCCGTCCCCACACGGCTCTGGGACATCGGGGGCCTCAGTCGCCGCCGGCTCACCCACGGTCCTCGGAGAACGACCCGCGTCTCAAAACCGTGCGGTGACCCCGAATCCCCCCCGACTCACAACACGGTGTGGTCACCACATCGTTTGGGGGCCCCCCGATCTTCATGCTGGGCCGTTTTGTTGACGGTCCTGGAGCCCAAAGAGGGTTCCAAAGCCGAAAGCGGCGAACACCACCAGGACCCGTGTCCGAGGGAGAATGCTCGGGGGGGGGGACACATCGACCTGGAATTGGCGATACATCGCCGATACATCGGGTGTTGCTAGAACTACCCCTGGCCCAGGGTACCCCCAGGATTCTCGGAGTGGCCCAGACGGCCTCCAGGGCACCCCTCACGAGGCCCAGAGGGCCCCAGGGGCTCCAAAATGGAGCGAAAAGCTGGGGGCACCTTGGGCCAAGGGCACTTCTAGCAGCACCCGAATACAGGCTGAGCCAGAGACGCCGCTCATCGCGTGGGAGGACGAGGGGGAGGGCGAGGAGGGGAAGGACGAGGAGGGTGAGGTCGAGATTCGCTCCCAGCCGAGAGCTCATGGGGGCGAGCCCCGCACATGCCAGACCTCCCTCGCCGAGCGAATGCGTACGGGGTGTGCGTGGGCTGCGAGGCCCCCCCATCGGCGATGAAGGGGCGATCGCGGGTCGATGCACCCCCCGCCTGAGCCGATCCTCCATCTCACATTTGAGCAGGGACCGACCGTCCCGGCATTCCTGCAATCCTACCACGGAATGTCCTTCGAACCCGAACCTTGTTCTGATAGCAACACCCATGTTCTCAGAACATGAGCCGGATGTGATAAAACAGGACAATCTCAGCCAGACTCGTCCGAAGCACATTCCGTGGACACCACACGAGAGGCTCTCAGAGCATTGGCTGGTAGGGCTACGGGCGAGCCCAGGGCGCTCCGCCGCTGCTCGACGACCCTCCCCCTCGCACTGCCCCCGTGGCTCTCGGGTCGTGCCTCGGCTCTCCGGCGGCCGCCCGGGAGGAGCCCCCGGGGCGCGCCCCCCCCCGAGGGTAGGCCGTCGGAGGGGGGCGCGCCCGCTGGAGCGCGCGCCGAGGCGGGAGGGCCGCCGAGAACGGACACCGCCCGAAGACCTCGAGCCCCGATGGCAAGGGGTCACGCTGCTCCCCTCGTGGGCGGGGGCCCCGCGCCCGGAAGCCGTGCCGAGCCTCCCGACAAAGGGTCGGAGGAGCGTCGAAAAAGCGCGTCGGGCGAGGGGCTCCCAGGGCCTCGACGCGTGGAGAGCCTCGAGTTTGCTCGGTGCTTTTTCTGGTGCTCGAAGATCTTTCTGGTGGTCACGGCTAGAAGTGGGCTGGAACAGCACAAGGCAAGGGGGGGGTCGACGCGGTGCCCCTGGCGTCTCCCAACAACAGGTTTGCTCGCAGGGTAGCTGCTCGCAGGTGGCCTGGATCCGCCGCCGGGGAGCTGCGATCCATTCTGCGTCGAGGCAAGCATGTTTCTTCGACGGAGTGATCTGTGAACAAAAAACTTGAATAACAACCAGTTCTGAGAACATCAAGCCGACTTACAACAAAGACAAAACAATGTCAAACGTTCTGATAGCACTCCGTGCGGACCACAAAAGGCTCTCTCAGAACACTCTTGGGTGGGCTTATGGGCAAGGCCGCACGCATCGCTACTAACGGACGCAGGGGCCTGCTGGCTTCACTGACGAGACCCAATCTGAAATTCGGCTCGAACTCCCGCTGCAGGCAGCCCACGAAAGCCAGACCGTCAAAATCCAGGACGCGCTCGTCAACAAGCGTGGACACACCCGAGTTCCAGCGTAGTCGAGCCTTACGTTTCCAGACACAGAAAAAGCGCCATAAACACAATGTTCGGCGCTCCGCACGGATTTCTTGGATCTGACCTGGAGGCGGCTTCTCAGAAGGGGCCCGCTTGCCTCATGGCGACTTCTCAGCAGGCGGCGGGACTTCTCAGAAACCCTCGCGCCTTCTGAGATGTGTTTCGTGTCTTCGCGGAAGGCTTAGAAACCTTCTCAGAAGGCCGGGGGACTTCCGAACCTTCTGAGAAGGCCCGCTCCTTCTCACTTTTCCCCCTCGCTCGCAGCCGACCTTTGGTCGACACAGGGGTCAGCGCTAATACGAGGAAGAGTGGAGGAAAGGAGGAGGAGGAGGAGGAAGAGGAGTAGGAAGATGAGGATGAGGAAGGAGGTAGGAGGCGGAGGAGAAATATAGGATGAGGAGGACGATGAGGAGGAATGCAGGAGGAAGAGGAGGAGGAGGAGAAGGAGGAGGAGACATGGAGGAGGAGGAGGAGGAGGAGGAGGAGGAGGAGGAGGAGGAGGGGGGGAGCAGGAGGGGGAGGAGGAGAGGAGGTTGCGAAGGGCGAGGAGGGAAATGAGAAGGACTTTTCCCTCTCACTTCCGCCACATCGCTCGCCGCCGACTACGCCTCCCCGAGAACAGGGGCCCGCTTGCTTCATGCCGATTCGGTGATGGACTCCGCGTCGGACAGGGCCGCCGGCTCCGCCCCGCGGGCTCCCCGCGGGCTCCCGGATGAACCCCGGCCGCCGCCCGCGTCGGCGGCGCCCCTCGCGCCGAAGAGGAAGTGGGCGCCGCCGCTCTCGGGGGCGTCCAGGGAGGGGGGGCGTGCACCGCCTCCTCCTCCTCCTCCTCTCCTCCTCCTCCTCCTTCCCATCCTCCTCCTCCTCCTCCTCCTCCCCGCCTCCCATCCTGCCCCACATCGTTCGTCGTCCTCCTCCTCCTAAACCCCCCCCAATTCCTCCTCCTCCTACTCCTTCTCCCTCTCTCCTACGTTCCTCCTCTCCCCTACCTCTTCCCCTCCTCCTCCCTCCTCCATTCACATCCTCCTCCTCCTTCCTCCTCCCTCCTCCTCCTCCCTCCTCCTCCTCCTCCTCCTCCTCCTCTCCTCCTCATCCTCCTCCTCCCCCCCCCTCCTCCTTCCTCCTCCTCCTTCTCCTCCTCCTCCTCTCCTTCCTCCTCCTCCTCTTCCTCCTCCCCCCCGTCCTCCTCCTCCTCCTGCTCCTAGATTCTCCTCGTTCTCATCGTTATCCTCTCCTCATCCTCCTCCTCCTCTCATTCCTCCTCGTACTGATACTACCTACCTACGACCTACAACCGACCGACTGATCGAACAACCAAACGACCAACGACGACATCTACTACCTACTACCTCCCTGCCTACTACTACCTCCCTGCCTGCCTACCTAACTACCTACCTAATCATCCAAAGAGCTCCTCCTCCTCCTCCGCACCTCCTCCTGCCATCCTCCTCATCGTTGTCCTCTTCCTCCTTCATTACGCTCCGCCTCCTCTCCCTTCCCCCTCATCCTTCTCCACCCCTCCTCCTCCTCCTCTCCTCCTCCTCCTCCTGATCGCTCCTTCTGAATCTCCTCCTCCTCCTCCTCCTCCTCCTCCTCCTCCTCCTCCTACTCCTCCTCCTCCTCCCCCTCCCTCCCCTCCCCTCCTCCTCCTCATCCTCCTCTTCTCCTCCTCTCCTCCTCCTCGCCTCTCCTCCCCCCCTTCTCCTCCTACGTTCCTCCTCCTTCTCCTCCTCCTCCTCCTCATCCTTTCACCCTCCTCATTTCCAACGTCCTGATCCCAATCATCCTCTCCTCCTCCTCCTCTCTCCTCCTCCTACATGTCTCCTCCCTCCTCCTCCTCCTCCTCCTCCTCCTCCTACATGTCTCCTCCTTCTTCTCCTCCTCCTACTACCTACCCACCTACCAACCGACCTACCTACCGACCGAACGACCGAACGACCGATCGACCTACCTACAGACAACCCGACCGACCGACCTGCCTACCTCATCTTCCCAACTCATCCCCCTCATCTTCCGCTGCCTACCTCCTCCC